AGGTCTAATATGGTTTATAAGCAAACAATACCTTCATTCAATAAGAAAACTCAAAAACCTTTAAAATGCTACTTAACCCCTTTATACACTCATGCCATCAATTATTAATGTTATCAAGTTTGGAAACATTCAGTTCTCGTTTATGGTACAGATTACGCTCTGTTTAGTTTTTCCTATTAATTTTATAATGAAATATGTAACATTTAGATGGGTTTCACATATGCTCACACACATTATTTTTTCTTATCGTCGTGTGTTAGTTCGAGAAAGTTTTGTTAGTTGGCAACATCACACTAGACTAGAATCTTCTGGTAGAAACTATCTTTGAAATATTAAAACTTAATTGACAAACAGAGATGTAATCCGTGTACATGAATATTTATGTTTTTAAATGCTACTTAAGGCAAAAATCAATGTTTAATATAAATTTCCGTAAATAAATAAAGCCATTGTGAAAATCAAATGTCAGATTGTATCGTGCATGAAATATAATGGAGCCAATTCGAGATTTTGTGTTAAAATTAACTACACTAATTAGTGTGATTAAATTCTTTAAGTATATAATAATATGTAAATCATTTTTAGAAATCATTAAATTTTTATTGTTTTTTTTTTTAAATTTGGATTAGATCTCGGAAGACAACATCTCGAATTGGGCGGATGAATGCATATTTCACTATCACAAAATCGTTATGTATAAAAATACTGATCTAAATAATTAGTTTAAAAATTTTTAAATTATGAATTAAAAGAAAAATAATGAGAACGGTAAATTGTAAATAATAGTATTTTAGTGACGAGACGTACATAGTTTATAAGTTTAATTATTTTCTAAGATTGAATAGATATTTGTATTTGTAAGATATATTTAGATGATTTATATTATATATTTTTCTTAATTTTTTTTTTGTACCGCGAAACAATACTTATATTGTCGACCATTCAATGTACGACTGATTGGAAATTGACCGTTTTATCTATATCTATAGGCCGTTACAGAGGCCGGGCTGCAATATCGTTGGGTCGTTTACAAATACCGATAATTTGAGAAGGTAAATTCATATTAGAGGTCGTCATCGCCGAAGTGGCCTAGCCCGCAATTTTCACATTCGTGTATATCGACGCTTGAAAGGCAAACGTGACTAAGCGACAATGCGTGAACTTTACAGTAGACTAATTTAAAGTTGAAATACCTGAAAAAAAAATTTATTTTAACGAATCTAGCTGTAGTAGAATCTAGCTAGTAGCTGTAGGATTGAAATGATTACAACAGACCTAGAAATATATATTTTTTGCGCATCCAATATGGCTATTGCCTATCATTTATGTACAAAGCAGTTATTGTCGCTTAGTCACGTTTGCCTTTCAAGCGTCGATATGTAATAACTATACTGCAATTTATTTAAAACATAAATAAATTTTGATGTAAAACCATGGCCTAACCATACTTTCACATATAGATAACAGATGGATTTGTAAATATTATTTTTGCGCGTATTGTTTTTCCCTATAAAGCAGTTTAAAAGTTAATACAAACCTCATTATCTCCATGCGAAATATGGTAAGCTTAGGTAAGCAACTTTTGCGCTGACGGCCTCATTTAAAATCAGTCGTACAAACAATATTATGTATATTAATATATTTATAGGTCGATTTTAATTTGTCATTCTTATATGTAAACGAATTATATCATTTAGATTAAGTACATGAATATGCTTTTCGCCGACAATTACGATTTATATTTACAAAAAGAGACGTATTTTTTTTTCTTATTCCTTGCCAATAAATGAGGCATAAAGATTTTTATTTTTCATTTTATTTCAACTTCGTATACACCTTCTCTAAAACCAAACATATCCTACTCAGGCCGACACGCGTGTGTATACCTCAATTTTAATGTGAACTTAAAATAATATTCATTTATAAAGACATGTAAGTACATACGGTAGGCAGCGGCTTGATTCTGCCCCTGGCATTGCTGAAGTCCATGGGCGACGGTAACCACTCACCATCAGGTGGGTCGTATGCTCGTCTGCCTACACGGGCAATAAAAATAAAAACATACACATACATGCCCTTGTTGGTAATCACATGTTTCGTGAACCAGCAATGTAAAGGACCCGTTTCGCGAATGCATTACATTGCGTGCCAAACAAAAACGTTTTAAAAATGAAAACTCACATTTTCAAAGAACTTTTTAAATAAACAGCCAGATCTGAAGACACTCTTCTGTCTACGTGCAAAGAAACGTTAATATCAAGAAATAATTTTTATACAAAATTAGTGGGTAGTTTGCACAGTAGTCCAATGTCGGCGATCCACACTCCGAAGTCGTTCGTGATCACGAAAACTGTAAAGTAGTCGAAGCGATGGAAATAATAAATGCGAGATAAAATCGTAACAGTAGTTTTAATTCTATTTACGACTCGCAAAAACCGAAGAAAAAACCTGGTTATTTACTAACAAACTTCAAGTCAGACTAGTTATCTATAATATATAAATCTACAGTGGTTTTACGGATGTTCCGTTATAACTACTGAACCATGCATCCGATTGACTTGAAACTTGGTATCCATGTAGAAAATACATGTACTTAATGGATAGGCTAATATTTATATGAGTGTTGGACTCCCTACAGCAGTTAAGGGGCGTTAATGATGAGAATCTTTGTGGGGGTGAGGAATAATAATGTTAATTTTAAATGCCCAGCGAAGCGGACGGTTGCAGCTAGTTACTAATAAATGCGTCACATTGGCCAAAGGTAAGCATTATTTGCTCTGACTTGCTTTTTTGTCGTCACTGCACTTTGGACCATAGTCAGATGCGATTAAGTCTGTCTGATAAAAAGTAGTCGCTCTGTTTTGGATATTTCTATTGATGTCTGAAAGTTTTATAGTCACCGTGGCCTAAATGTTACGACGCTCTGTGTACTTAAGTTGGTGTTAAAATCCTGAAGATATTTTTTTTCTAGGTATAATGAAAAGTCAAGACGTGCTAACGACTTCCACAATGAAGGAATATAAACGTAATTACTGGTGATAGAGAGAGAGGGGCGTGTGGTTTTTTTTTATTGCTTAGTGGACCAGCTAACGGCCCACTTGGTGTTAAGCGGTTACCGGATCCCATAGACATCTACAACGTAAATGCCGCCACCTACTTTAAGATATAAGTTCTAAGGTCTTAGTATAGTTACAACGGCTGCGTCACCCTTCAAACCGAAACGCATCACTGCTTCACGGCAGAAATAGGCAGGGCGGTGGTACCTACCCGTGCGGACTCACAAGAGGTCCTACCACCAGTAATTACGCAAATTATAATTTTGCGGGTTTGATTTTTATTACACGATGTTATTCCTTCACCGTGGAAGTCAATCGTGAACATTTGTTGAGTACGTATTTCATTAGAAAAATTGGTACCCGCCAGCGGGATTCGAACACCGTTGCATCGCTAATTACGAATGCACCGGACGTCTTATCCTTTAGGCCATGATGACTTCGACTTCGACGACGCATTACTACTTTACGGCAGAAATAGGCAGGGTGGTGGTACCTACCCGTGCGGATTCACAATAGTTTCTATCACCAGTAAGTACTCGCGAAACTGACAGTCATAGGAGCCAATTAATGCGTTGGTATATTTTTTTCTTGGTTATAAAATTACTAACCGGTTTATACGTTTGTCACATAAGCATGACTCGATAACTAACCGTCAGAAGAGGAAATTGGTAAAAAATTGTATTCTTACGTGCCCTCGTAGCTTTTATCGGAAAGTACTAGGTAATAAGGAAATATATGGATGAGAAACTAATGCTTGAAGTCTCAATTGCTTTAAATAACGACATTCCCAAGCTGGAACCCAAGACTGGTTCGCCGCAGAAGTAGGACGGATGGTGATAGGGCTTTGATTTTGGGACCGATTTCAAGGAGTTTTCAAGTGTGCTATATTAGTGCATGCATTACGGCTGTTTAAGGGGTTACTGGAACTTATTATAGCCATAACGTCAACGCTATTGTCCACCTTGAGAAAGTAGAGTTCCTTATCATTCATCATCAGTCCGTGCTTAAAATACCTTGATGCGTACTGAAGTTTTACAATTTGGTCCTTTAATAATTAATACGCTAATTACTTCTCACTAATAGCTTGCAGTAAAATTCACGTTATATACAATCTGGTAAACAGGCAATATTACTTGCACCGTATTAAATAAACGGAGTATTGTTGTTGGCTGCGACGGAATATTTCTAGTTATGTAGTGTAGTGCTCGAACGCGATCTGAAACATTTTCTAGGTCACTCCGGTTGTTGAACTACATTCCACGTAACCAATGTTACGTAAGAGTCCGCTGGAAAATAGCTTTTCCTAGAATTCTGAAGCGGAACTACATAAGTGGGGAGCAAAAGGGAGTCTCAGTTTTAGCGTTGTTGATAGAACATTGTACTGGTGGTAGGACCTCTTGTGAGTCCGCACGGGACCTAACCACCACCCAAACTATTACTTCCGTGAAGTAGTAATGCGGTTCGGTTTGATGGGTGGGGCAGCCGTTGTAACTATACTTGCGATCTTAGAACTTATATCTCAAGGTGGGTGGCGCATTTACGTCGTAGATGTCTATGGGCTCCAGTAACCACTTAACACCAGATGGGCTGTGAGCTCGTCCACTCATCTAAGAAAAAAAAATCGAAACAACGGAAAATTCAATGAGGATTTTGTGTTGCAAATATTATAGATGCGTTTTTTTTTGTGGAACGCGCTATTAAACTCCATCGTTCGTGAGTTATTGTTCGCCGGTCGTATTTGTCTCATTCATTCTTAGCTGCGAACGCACGCTTTAGGTTTTCGCCACAAAAGCAGTCCAGAAACGGGTTTGCAGTGTCTTCCCGAGGAATTCGCACCTGGCCGGTGGCCTTGTGCGTCAGTCCGCGAGCTCGGCCAGCGCGTATTCGCATCCAATGACGTCGTCCGTCTGAGACACACCTCCGTGCATTTAAAATTGGATCGGCTGCGTGCGCAGTCGGCTCGGTATCGAGCGTCAGTGTCAGTTGTCAGTTGTCAGCCGGGCCTGACGGACGCGTGTCGTGTATCTCGTACTGCGGAGCTTCCACCATGGCTCTGCTCAGACGGCTCGTTGTGAACGCTCCCCGCAACGTGAGGGTGCTGTCGACGCCTTCGCCGGCATCGCGGGACGAACTCGACCTGACCTTTAACAGTCCGAAAGACGCGTTCAAGAGCAAGAAAACCAGCGAACTAGTCCGGGCCTACTTCGTCTATCAAATATGTTCGGTGAACTGGCTCGTAGAGAACAACGACATGGTTAGTGCCAGCTGACTTTTACGTAATGCGAGATCGTTTTAAGACCGGCGTGTCCTTCGAGCGATGGCAGATGGCAGGGTTTTTTTTGTAGCCGGTAGTTGTGTAATGGGTGGTACAGATGAATGGGTGTGATGGTGTGGGCGGCGCATGCGTGGTTCTCGAGGGGGTGGGATGTACCAGACAGGGGGCAGACGTCCCGACCTGTCCCGCGTGTCCCGGATATTATCCCTGTCACGTCGCGCTTATAGATGAAACTATATACACTTGAAATTTTTCTTAGTATATAGTACATAATCAATGCGCATTAAACACGTGGTTAGTGAATTTCATCCACGATCTTTCGGATCGGAAAAATTACGTTCTTTATAACCTTTATTTGATTACTGTTTTCTGTTTGCTCAAGATTGTCTTCAGCAATTGTGCAAACAGGTTTAATTTAACAAAACCTTATCACGACTGTAGGATGGTATGTATATGTAATATGTATCTCACAATGTTATCCTTAAAATCAAATTAGTTTCGTATGCTTTTTTTTGCTGATTCGTGTGTTTTGTATGATACAGTGATTAAATTCTTAGACTTAACATTGAAAAGGTTAAAACAAAAACCTTCACTTGATGCAGTTTGAGCTGATGAGCAGATGTTTTTTTTAATTTTTTTTTATTGCCTTTGTAGGCAGACGAGCATACGGCCCACCTGATGGTGAGTGGTTACCGTCGCCCATGGACTTCAGCAATGCCAGGGGCAGAGCCAAGCCGCTGCCTACCGATACCGAAGCCCCACAATACCTAATCTGCTATTGTGGGGCTTGATAAAATCTTGACTATACTCCCGAGCCACGGGATCAGCTCAGCGAGTTATTTCAGATTACAGGAACCCATTAAAAGTACTAAAAGACTTACCACATTGTACATAATTTTTATTTTCTGCAAAAACTTCACTATTCGTATACTCTTCGTATTTCTTACGAGAAATAATTATTTACTTATCTGATGATAGTGCGTGATCTAAGGCTGAATGTTTTGCATATTTCTGCAATGAAGCAATAATGTTTTCTGCTTCACAAGAAGGAACAGGCTATTCCATTGCAATATAGACTTCGATTACGTACCTATGTCATTCACGCTGCAATTTTTATGGACAACGGTAGTAAAATTCCGTCTAGTTTGGCCAACATTCCGAAAGGATAGCTGACCTGAACTTGTATATAGACTTCGATTACGTACCTTTCTCATTCACGCTGCAATTTTTATGGACAACGGTAGTAAAATTCCGTCTAGTTTGGCCAACATTCCGAAAGGATAGCTGACCTGAACTTGTATATAAGATAGGTTCTCTGAAAATTCGACTGGCTATCAACACAAAACTCGGATCAAGAATAGTTAAAATATAATTTTATTGGAACGCTCTTTCTTGTTTCAATTTGATTCGGAGTCAACTTGGACGATCTAAAGCCCTTAGTTAGCAATCGATTTATCAGAATCGACTCGCCTGAACCAGTTCTGTTCGAACACCGGATGTAGAGAACCCAACAAAGACAGGTAGCAGCGTCTGTAGCTCTTAAGCATCGCTATTGAAACATATACATACCTACGTTGCCGACGTTTTCTGCATAGCAAGCAACGAACGTATCAATGCTAAAATCAGCTGACGGGGTCAACGGTTTCGTGTGACGCGGGGGACGGGGTGTCTTCGCTCTAAGTAGTTTGCGGGTACGAAAAATTTAATCTCCTTATACCACACGTGTTTATCCTTAGCAAATGAATATCGAATTGTGTTTACGTAGCTTTTTATTATCGTTACGACTTCAGGATGTTACAACTTTTATTTAACTTTAGAATTGATGCCGGTTAAATTGCCAACGGGTATAAAACAAATTCTATATGTTACATATTATGTTTAATTTCTTTTTTGTTGTTGAAGGAACAGTATTTTGTTTGGTGTTTCGAAAACGGAGACGTAAAAATGACTTTCGATTACGCAGAACTTCTTGTTATTCGATGTTTATGTTATTCAAAGATATTAATTGATAAGGACCTCTTGTGAGTCCGCACGGGTAGGTACCACCGCCCTGCCTATTTCTGCCGTGAAGCAGTAATGCGTTTTGGTCTGAAGGGTAGGGCAGCCGTTGTAACTATACTGAGATCTTAGAACTTATATCTCAAAGTGGGTGACGCATTTACGTTGTAGATGTCTATGGGCTCCAGTAATCACTTAACACCAGGTGGGCTGTGAGCTCGTCAACCCATCTAAGCAATAAAAAAAAAAACTGTATACTTAAACTATACTAGAAACTTGAAACATTGTTATGTCACAACATTATTTTGATTACCATTTAAGTGCCTGTATTGAACACAGAAGTTCGTTGATAACCGCGTAAAGATTGATTCAGCTATCGGGGATTTAAGTAGAGCATAAACGCATCGACTGAACTGTAAACAGGTTTTTTTATATACTATGAATGCTTGCGGTCCTCCACTCCCTCTTCGCGGCCCGTATAACAATTTACTACCTCTTTCTAACGTTTTCACTATCGTCATTGTAGGATAAGGGGCCTAGTTTGGATACTCTATCCTGGATTAATACGGATGTATTGAGCGATGGTGCCGATGTTCATATCTCGCGGATAAATCCCAATTTTTCTAATGAATTACGTACTTGACTTATGTTCACGAATGATTTTTGACGACGAAGGGATAACACCCAAAGTATATTAAAAATCCTCTCAAAAAAAATGCGTTATTTTTTCTACCTTTGCTGATAGCCTTGAAAGGCTATTTCAGCTTCTCCTTGACGTGTAGGTGAGCTCACGGGGCTCAAATCGGAGTGTTGCTAACACTGGCCCTAGCAAGGGCAGTGCTTCGCCGAATCTATCACCGGATCGGAAACGCGACCCACTGAGAAGATCCGGCGAAGCATTCAATGGGCCGTGTCTATGGGTTCATTTACTCGTCGAACCCTTCGTTGCAAGCGGCGGGCTCGACGACGTCATTTCGGATCATCCCGATGCACTAGCGGTGCTTTTAGGTACTTCAAGCACCGGTCACCGTTCTCGTCGAACCCGTCGCTTGCGACGAAGGGCTCGACGAGCAAACTAACCCACAGACACTGCCCACTGATTTTCTCAATGGATCTTCTCAATAGGTCGCGTTTTCGATCCTGTGGTAGATTCTGCGAAGCACTTCTCTTGCTAGGGTTAGTGTTAGTAACATCGTTGTGTTTGAGCCCCGTGAGCTCACCGACTTCTTAGGTTACGCTGACATAGCCTCTCAAGGCTATCAGCTTAGGTAGGAAAACAAAAAGCGCACACAATGATAAGATCTTTATTATCTTCTTCTTAGTCGCATCCATAGAGTCCAGTGAGTCCAGTGAGCGCAGTTATTTGACCTGACCAACGGTTTGGCGGCCGGCCGGCGGGTCTTTTCCCTTCTACCTAGCCCACCACAGTCAATCTTTCAAGGTTGTCTGTCTGGTTGCCGTCGAGCAATGTGACCAAAGTAACCAAGAACCTTCTGGTAGCAAATTGTCGACAGTCTCGTTTCTATGCGAAGTACTTTATCATAATGTTTGTATATTTACATGCTTGCGTAAATAAATTTGATCGTTCGTGCCAATGTTTTCAGACAAAAAAATGGTTACTTACCGCTGTTATCAAATTTAAATTAGATACTACGTTAGAATAAATTTAAACAGTCGTTGTTGATTCTTTTTTTTATTATAGCCTTCGACGAAATTTACTTTAGAAAAACGTGTTTAATTGCGGTCTTTAAAATTAAATGGTAACAACTAATTTGAATAGCATTTTTGTATCAGAATTTTAATAGACTGGGTGGAAATTTTTGAATTCTCATTCTCCCTGTAACGAAATGTGTAGTCAACGGAATTATTCTCCGCGGCCCTTAGTAGAGCATATCCCTATAGTAACATTATAAATATTCATAGGTAGTCAGCGGCCTGGCCCTGCCCCTGGCATTGCTGAGGTCCATGGGCAACGGTAACACCTCACCATCAGGTGGGCCGTATGCTCGTCTGCCTACAAGGGCAATTAAAAATAAAACATACTAATTGGACATTCTTTATTTGGGCGTAAATATTAATTTTAGTTTTGTCATTAAATTAAATTTAGATAATGGCTCCAGGCTCGCTTGGAGTTAAGTGCTGTCCACGGCCACTGAGACGACAAAATGAATGTATAAGTTGTTCTTCTTAATATAGAGTCTCTCCTCGTTTTTTTTCGGGATTACTGTTGGCCCAGAGCCCTTCCAGTTTCATCGGGACAGGTGGGCGAGCAAAGGCTCAGCCAGGAGGGGTGGGATTTGCTAACAGCTGCCCGAGTCCCTCCAAAGGAGACCTAACTACTTAAAGCAGCTGTTTCGCGAATAAATTTACTGCCGGATCGAAACCGCGAAAAGATCCGGCGAGAAACTCAGCGGGCTGATGCATGGGTTAAGCACCTTTTCTACTGCGGGCCGTATGATTGTTTCGCGGTAGGAATAAGCGTAATATCGATACCTGTGTGCGCTCTCAATACGCCCCACCCGTAATTAGAGAGAACAAATCGTCTTCTCGCATTAAAACTGCTTAATCTCAAAACTTACAAATTTTACAGGAGAGTGTTTTAAAGGTTTAACATATTTTTTTTATTGCTTAGTTGAGTGAACGAGCTCATATTCCATCTGGTGTTAAGTGGTTACTGGAGCACATAGACATCTATGACGTAAATGCGCCATCCACCTTGAGATAAGTTCTATGGTCTCAGTATAGTTACCACGGCTGCCCCACCCTTCAAAGCGAAACGCATTACTGCTTCACGGCAGAAATAGGTAGGGTGGTGGTACCTACCCGTGCGGACTCACAAGAGGTCCTACCACCAGTAAAAAAACATGTAATATATTTAATATTAATCATAAGATTAGCAACATTTATTTTTTATTTTTTACCAGTTACCTTATCTGTCTTTTAAAGTAAGATAAAACAATTTTAATAGTAGTCAAAAGAGA